CGTGAAGACGTAATGAGGCAGATTTCGATGTGTTAGGAATTGTGAAGGCATTTTAACTAAAGAAAATGATACATTACTCGAAATTTCTTCAAAATATACACTTTTCTAAGATTTCCCTGAAAAATAAACTGTTTATCAACACTCATCAGACGTAAAAGCGTATTCAATATAAAAAATATTAATTAGTTTTTCTATATTTTAGAAATTATTTTATCGTTTCTATTTAAAGTAACTGGTGAGAAAGTGTCTATTGAGCATTTTCTCTGGCGAAGACTAGTCCAGCATAGCAAGCTGGCATACAAGTAATTTTTAAGCCTAAATTCTAAATTCTAAGTCAACGATTAAACACTATCCCATGCATCAAAACTTATAGAAGTTTAGGAGCCAATACATGCGGGAAGGGTTTAGGACAGCTATAAGATATTATGAGCGAACTTATGCGTATTTTAGAACAGCAAATCAAGTCCGGCAAAAATAAGGATGATAAAAATCTGTAGAAGAGTCTATTGTAAACGAGGAAAAAAAATGATATTTTATTATAGCAGCGAATAACGAAGGTAAAGCAGCAGTCGTGAAGGTAGTTGATTATGTTAAGAAAGTTCAAGGCACGTTATACATGCGTATAAAAAGTTAGATGAAGTTTTGTTAAAGAGTATATACAGTACATTAGAAATATTGTTATCTTAATTTTTTTTAAAAGATGAATTTGCAATTAGCATATTAATCGAAGCCAAAATGTATCCTTTTGTTCGAGTTAACGAAGAGTGCACAAAGCAGACGAATCAATCTGATTAATTGTGTTAATGAGATAGACGATGACCTGATAACGCACCTCACAAGCGTTATAAAAGGATAGTAAAAGCTTGAAAATATTTCAAAGCCGTTTTATATCGAAAAGCCGTTTTTTGCCATTATAACTGGAAATGTTTTAATGCCTTAACGTTTATTTAAATGGCAAGAAAACGGTCTAAAAACAGACATTTAATGGTAACAGTTTTCAGATCATTTTTACACATTAATTGCCAGTTAATTTTACTTTTATCAACGTTTTCTAGGTGTGACTTCTTTTTAATTGATAGATTCAAAAATAACATTTACCAAATTTTTTTCAATTAATACTTTTTGAAGCCTGAGGTACTGTCATCTGCATCAACCCCAGAATCACAAACTGCTTCCTTGAGAAAAATTTCTATGACTCCTGACCATTGAAGAAGCGAATAATTCTAAATTATTTTAGGAAAATCAGTGTCTTTTTATACTAGTCACGATAACAAAATAAAACGGTGAATGGCTTGGTAGCCGTAAACCTATGCATCGGTATCGGTATTCATACCGAAATACCGATACCAAAAATATCGAACTTCGGTATATACCGATACCGAAAATACCGACTTTTTTCACTTGGAATTTTTTGGATTTTTTCATTTGAAATGAGATGTTTTAGCGTCCTGAACACCAAGAATGAATCAAGGACGGAAAACAAGAGCTTTGTTTGCTTTCTATAGCCAAAGTTTTTCGTTTTTTTCTATCTGCACATGCTCAGAATAGACAGCTGAGTGTTGTTTATACGTTCTACTTGTCCAGGATGCTAAAATACCTCATTTCAAATGAAAAAATCCAAAAAATTTCAAGTCAAAAAAAGTCGGTATTTTAGGTATCGGTATATACCGACGTTCGGTATTTTCGGTATACCGATACCGGTGCATACTTACCCTAAACTGGCTGTTAAATGTCAATTTACGATCAGTCGTTTGCCATTTTGCAATGGAGAAAAAGCTGCCTCAAAACGGACATTTTTAATAGGCATATTTATTTGTCATTAGTTCACGGTCTAATAAATAGACAAAAAATGTCATTTTACGGACACCGTCAAATGATATATTGGCGGACTATAATATGGCATTGTTTCCACTGTTATTGCAAAGTTAAAACAAAGTCATTTTAATGGCTGTTAAATGCTAGTTGTCGTTCGATTTTTACACAATTAACAGGCCATTTTTTGGCATACAGTAAACAGGCTGTTAATGGACAATCAAATGCCATTTTTCGTCAGTTTGGGTTTTTTGGACTACATGTGTCAGCAGGAAGAGACCAAGCTTGTTTTGTGTAACCTCTACACACGTAACTGATGATGAGACGAGTGTAAAATAATCGAATCCTTAGCCTTTTTATTGATTCTTTTACTCCTTTCCCCTACAGAGCGTTCCACAGAATACCTTACGCCAGAAGGATCCTTTCTTGTATAGTGTGGATTTAGCGGCATATTTTTCTCAATTCTAACTGCAGTACTCATCACCTACGTGTTGTATGATGCAGGAGTTACACATTTTTAGACCCTTCGGACTACGCTGACAAGTATTTTAGTCAAATTCCTCAAGCGCAAGAACGTTTCGGTATCTACTCGAGAAACACATTTCTTGCTGATCTCTGAGTCGGAACCAGTGCTCTTTTCAAGGATTATTCTTACTTTTGAGACGTGGTTCTCAGCTAACATCCATAGTTCCTTGCATATTTTAAGAAAAATTATTTTAATTAGAAAAAATGTATGCATGTTATTAATTTCATTTCACTGTGTTTAGATCCTGATGCAAATAAATGTCATGCACGAGGATGTACTTGGGATACAGAAATTCCAACTAATATGCCTGTTTGTTACATTCCGAAATGGAAAGGTGGTTATGAGCTTGTTGGACACGAAAAAATTACACAATGGGACATTCAATATAAACTTCGACGATTGTCGAAAAAGCCTATTAAAAATGTTCCATTTTCAGAAGAATTAGATTTCAGTCTATTTGGAAATGATATTGATAATTTAAAACTGAAAATAACAACATCGGGAATGAATATAATACGATTGAAAATACTTGATGATGATCGTGAACGTTACGAGGTACCGATTCCGATTAAATGGTACCCATCGAATGTCGAACAACAACAACAACAACAAAAAATTAAATTTCGGTTAACAAAAACAAAATATAATCAAATTGGTTTTCAAATTGTTCGAGTCGATACGAAAGCCTTGCTGTTTGATACATCGTATTTTGCTGAAGGTTTTATTTACGATGATAAATACTTACAATTTATGACAACAATACCATCAAAAAATATTTATGGTATGGGAGAAAACACACATTCATCATTTCAACATAATTTGAATTCAAATATGCGTTATGGTATATTTGCAAGAGATCAACGACCAATAGGTCTTAATGAAAATTTATATGGTACACATCCATTTTATATGGTCATAGAAAATGATGGAAATGCATTTGGGGTTTTCATATTTAATTCAAATGCTCAAGATTATAAATTTAGCCTATTTGAACGAGACAAATCAATGTTAACATATCGAACAATAGGTGGTATTCTTGATCTATTCTTTTTTGCTGGTCCAACACCAGAAGATGTAGTACAACAATATCAACAAGTGATTGGAACACCTTATATAGTCAGTCAGCCATACGTAACCTTCTGTCATTTGTTACTTTTATTCGTTCTTACTTGTTTCTTTCAGCCTCCATATTGGGGACTTGGCTTTCAGTTGGGTCGATACGGATATAATACACTGGATAATATGCGAGCAGCAATGAATAGAACACTATCAAATAAGATACCGTTGGATGTCATGAATGGTAAGAATATACATTAATGTAAAGGAATACAAAATAAACTATTCGAATATACTTTCACAGGCGATATAGACTGTTTTGATAATAATCTTGATTTTACATGGGATCATACTCGATTCAAAAATCTACCGGAATTTATCAATTCATTACATGAGCAAGGAATGAAATTTATAACCATATTAGATCCTGCAATTGATTCGGAAAAAGAAAACTATTCCACATTTTTAGAAGGTCAAAAAAAAGACATTTGGATTAAATGGCCGAAAAATAAAAATATACAATTTAATGAAACTGGTAGATTGCTGATTTTCTCTCTAAATACTTACTCATTGTATGCTTTCTATCCAAAGGCAATCGCAATGTGTTAGGTCGTGTATATAAAGTATTCAAACATTACGTCGTTTATTACGTATTGGATTATGAAAGACACAAGAAAACTATTGACAGCTTTCTTCCTATAAGAAATAATTGCGTAATGAACGAACTGATCACGGACTATTGGGAAGGCAGTTTTTCCTGATTACTTTTTGTCAGAGACAAAAGAATGGTGGAAAACAGAAATATTAAATTATCATCAAAAATTGAAATTTGACGGTTTATGGATTGATATGAATGAACCGAGTAACTTTGATACGAGTAAAGATCATTCATGGAATTGGCCATTTCGTGAAGATTGGAATTGTCCAGTAGACGAATGGGACGACCCGATATATAAAACAGCTATAAAAGGTGATCGCCTGTCAGACAAAACATTGTGTATGATTGTAGAACAATCAAATGGTTCACACATATTTCGACACTATGATGTTCATACTTTGTATGGTTGGTCTCAAACACTAGCAACGTTGCCAGCTGCTCAAGCGACAGAAAATAAACGCTCAGTTGTCATTAGTCGTTCAACATTTCCGACATCCGGCAAGTACGGTGGCCATTGGTTAGGAGATAATTCAGCGAAATGGTCACATGTCAAATATAACATAATTGGTATGTTAGAATTTAATTTGTTTGGCATTCCATATATTGGTGCGGACATCTGCGGCTATTACGGTAATGCGTCGGAACAGTTATGTCAACGGTAAGTGCATGTTGAACTAGTTCTATCAACAATTGTTGTTTGTTTGTTTGTTTTAGATGGATGCAAGAAGGTAAAAATAATGCGCTTCATATGACATCAAATAAAGCACGTTCATATCATTTTGCCGGTTTCCGCGCCGAGAAAAAATAACGCATGAGATGCCTCTGCAATGTCTTTAGGTTCCCGGTGAAAATTTTATTTTGTTACATGATTCGAGAAGTGTAGTGGAATTCTCTATCAAACTAGTTACTAGTTAGACGTTAATGTCAAGAGGTATTGATTTTGTCACAAAAAATGCTCGTTTTTTGACGATAAAATAGTGTGCTCCTTCTTGACATTTTCATTTGACATATTAAATCGATTCTACGATATACTAGATAAAATTCTCGAACTTTCTATCACAGAGAAGTAGTTTTCGAATAAAGTTGGGGTAAATAAACGGACTGACAAAACGAATTAGATTTAGATAGTATCTATTTCTTGTTTACTTAGGCGCATTTAATCCATTTTTTCGTAATCATAATGGAGGATTTATAGATCAAGATCCAGGTAGTTGGTCTCCGCCAGTTGTCGAGTCTAATCGTAAAGTGGTTGAAACTCGTTATACTCTTCTACCATATTTGTATACATTATTTTATCGTGCACATATTATGGGTGGCACTGTTGTTCGTAGTATGGCACACGAGTTTCCAGAAGATAGTCAATGCTGGTCATTGGATGAACAATTTTTATGGGGCAAATATTTACTCATAGCCCCAGTTATTTATGAAAACCATGTTCAAAAAGAAATCTATTTTTCTGGTTTAAATTCAAATGAACGATGGTACAATTATTATACAGGCGAAGAAATGTATCAAACAGCAGATGGATCATCATTTGTCACTGTCCCAGCACCACTCAACCATTTGCCGTTATATCTGAGAGGTGGTGCAATTATTCCACATCAAAAACATGCACTAAATACGCAGAAAAGTAGATTGCTGCCGATGTATCTGAAAATAGCATTGGATAAACAACAAAACGCAAAAGGTAGTTATTTGTTTAATGTGACATAATTATTGTGGTGTTTGACATAAAACCCATCTCTACCAGAAAGTGAAAGAAACCGTTCTCAGATTCCTTTTCCATCAGAGCTGTCTTTTTTACAAAATGTATTATAAGAAAACTGGATCATGACATTGAATAAGATATGCGGTTAATAAGATTAACCGACGTTTGAGCCACACGACTTATGACCTGCACGACATTGGAGCTACCTAACATCTGAGCGATCCGACCCTTGAGCGACCGACATTAAACCTGCGTGAAGTTCTTTGGTGAATAGTTATTATGTGAGACAGTTACACATATATAGTGTTGCATGACGCTTATACGTTTTGCGTGAAACTACTTTTCGAACTCACTCTCATACTACCCACACCCCCACCTCCCATGACACACTACCAAAAATACCCAAATGTGTACTACGAAAAATTCGTAGAAGAGTCAGAGTCCTGTTCGCGGTAATGGCGTTCGATGAAATATCGGTCGCTCACATGTTACCTCTCAAATGTCGGTCGCTCAAACGCCAGTTGACGGGTTAATGAAGTTGCGATCTTGATAAATATTTCTGATTAGAAATGTTCAATAAGTAAAAAAGAAACAAATAGCAATGAAGTTTCCAATATCTACTTATTTCAACATCGATACAAACAAAAAAACGTGGTTACTATATGGAAAAAATCTTATTTATTAACGTTTGTTTACACCGAGAAAAAAGAGAAACAAAATTTCGTCTTGAAAACCTTTTCATCTGGAATACAAAAAATTGTTTAGTCTTAGAAATTATAACGATACTAATAGCGAAATAGCAAAATTTTAACAAATACAAAAACAGAGTTAAATATATTTACATAAAACTTAAGACTTAACATTCAGTTTCTAAATTAAAACTCAGTAGTTATAGATTAAGTATGCCCGGCAGATTCTCCATAAAGTCTATGTTTATCCACACAACGAAAGAGCTGAAAAAAGCTCTCACAGTTCATTTTGTAAATGCTCGTACTTCTTTTTTTGCCATTTTTTTGTACAAGTATAATTGCTGCTACAGTATTCGGAATTCGTGAGGGATCTGTCAGACAAAATATCGCGTTTTAATTTAAAAATTGCACTTTAAGAAATTGTCAATGCGATAGGAAGA